GGTTTCTCCTGGTTTTCTCATGGCCAGCCTAAGGAGAGCATCTTGGGGATCCAAGAGAATCACTGTTAGTCTAATTACTGCTTCAACAGTCTTATCCAAATACACCAATGAGCTGTTATCTGTCTGTTASGACAATCTAGGCCAAATTCAATTAGTGTTAATTGCCCCAGTAGTACAGTTAAATACCTGAGATGTTACACTCAACCTACCATGCATTGCTGTGGGACTGCTACCATCCCAATTTTGTTGCAGGGAAATATGTGCTGTCTTGAGGAGTGAGGGGTTTTTTTCACCTCAGGTCTGTGTAGGGTCAGGGTCTTTTTTAAATGTTTCAATKCTTGTTTGTGCAAGTGCATCACACTCATCATCTCCATTAGTTCACAGGGTTAGTTATACCCTAATTGCCTGGATCAGTTAGGCCTCTTTTATGACAAGAACCATGTCACTGCAATGTTAAAACAAATTGGGTATTACTATAACTGAAACAAGTTTAAAAGCAGAAGATAAACCAGAGAAACCTGACTCTTGRGTAGAATTGCTGTAACAGCAGGACAAGCTGGACTACAGGCATCTGAACCTGGAGTAAGCTGCAGGCACAGTAAAGGTTCTGAAGTGTTTTTGCAAATACAACTTAATTATGTTTAAGATCAGGAAAATTATTGTTACAGTGTGTGAGACCTGTTACTAACACATGGCAACACCAGCATGGCTGGGCAGCAGGTCTGCGGTCCTGCCAGACACCAGGTGAGAAAAGAAATTAATTGGAACAGAGCAAGAGGAGTGGACAAGGACATTGGCAGACCTGTCCTTTCCATGTGCTGTTTACCTGCCATGTGATGAGCTCACCTTCTCCATATGGAGAGCTTGGGGCAGGTTTTTGCCCCCCAGATGGGTGAGACCCCATTCTGATCCTTAGCAGGACTGGAGAGGTGCCCTGGCCTCCAACATCTGGGGTCAYTTGGCCTGTTCAGCTGCAGCACCCTGCAGCAAGAGCAACGGTGATGGGGAAGGAGCCCTGCATGCCATCAGGTGATGGGTCCTCATGGTGGGCCAAGAAAGAGGAAAATCACTGGAGCAGTCTAGTGGCAGTGCTGGTGGCAGGATATTTCAGGACTGCAGCTTTCTCCAAGGCCTGGCCTAGCCCAGAGCTGGGGCACCTGAGCTCCATTCCATCCCCTCCTGAATTTCTGYTGCTTTCCTTGTCCCAGAGAGTTCACCAAGGAGCGTGAGAAGGCCAAGTCGAGGGGCACGTTCCAGAAGCTGCGGGAGAAGCAGCAGCTGGAGGAGGATCTGAAGGGCTACATGGACTGGATCACCCACGCTGAGGTCATGGACAGTGATCGGGCCAGGGGAGAAGGTACCAGCTCTGCTTGGTCACACACCGTTAGCGAGAGGGTTGGGTTCCTAATGATGACCACCTMGACAGGAAAGGTGTAAATCTTTGGAAAACTCACAAAGACTCATTTTGCCTGAAAACCCATGAGACAAAATGCTTTGACTTTCTGCAGAACAGTTTCCTTCCTCTTTTTTATTATTTCCTGAATAATTTTGTTGAATTTGACCCAGACTAGCMATGATTTATCCCCGATGCTTAAATCTCCACCTCCACCACAGTATTTAATATTTGCAGAGGAGCAGAGGCCTCCTCTGCAAATATCAAATTTAATTTTAAACACAAGCAAGGCTRGAGTCTCCTTTGGGAAGAGGCACTTGGAACAGCCGAGAGGAGTGTGTGCCCTTGATGTGGAGGGGTACAGTGCAGGGTCACAAGCTCTCACATCAGCAGATGCTTGAATTTCTTGCCATAACTTGATGATTTCAAGGGAGGCTATACAGGCTCAGGGAGGCTATACAGGCATCTAGCCAAAGCTCAGCAAAGCCTGGGGATCTCTACCCCAGAGCCACRGTGTCTGTTGTGCCACTCTGCCTGCTGAGAGCACTTTTGATGCCTCAAGCTGAGTCATGTGTGTGTGCAAAGAACACTTGGAAACAGGGGGACAGACAAAACCTCTTCCAGAGCTGTGGTCCGTGTTCTTAGAAAACTCTGTTCAGCCTTTGCTCAGATCTCAATTGGCCCCAGTTTTCATCATGCTGGGGTAGCTGCTGCTGTCCCTCTCTGCACTGCAGCTGCTCTTCCTGCAACACAGGAGTTCCTGGTACCTTGTGCTTCTCAAAGCCTTCTGTCCAAACTTTGGTTGCTGCCTCTCTGGGATGGCATTGTTTGAGTTCACTTCTGATGGGGAARCTCTTCCTGGTTTGCTTCTGGAAGAATTTCCCTCCCACATGTTCTTCTCAAGGGCTCCAAGAAAAACATTTAATGTCATTCCATCATAGGTATGATGCCTTCAGATGAAGGAGGGTCAGAGACAGAGAGCTTGTATGAAATTGAGGGCATGAACAAGTGGATTCTCTTCTTGTAAGTGTGCTCTGAATGAACCATCTGCTTGCATGGGGGCTTCTACTGTCTCTCACTTGCTGGCCCAGCCCATGGGGGCTTCTACTGTCTCTCACTTTCCTGGTCAGCCACCAGTTTCTGGGAGAGAGACAGGGACTGGTTTTTGGGGGAAGGTGAAGACATTGGGGCTGCAAATAGGGAATTAGGCTGTGGTACTGGCAAAAAGCTCTTTGAGGTGTACAACATCTTTGCTGTGGGACCTGGCTCCAAGCATCCTCCCAYGGCCTGTGCAGCACAGCATGAAATTCAGGAGCTGTGCCTGCAGCCCCCAGCCAGAGGTGATGGAGGCCAAAATTAKCCAGTAGGGTGAATTAACTGCAGTGCCTGAGTGAATGCACTGAGTTGCAGGGCAGGTTATGGTCCTCATCCCTTTTCAGGGAAGGCCCCCAAAAGAGGGAGCAGGGGTGGCTTTGCCCTTCAGGCACAGCCCAAGGGCTTGGGTCTGACCAGCTGGCCAGCTCTGCTGATCCTCTGCCATCTCTGCAGCCGGCAGTGGAGGCGCTGGAACCGAATGTTTCGCAGGAAGTGCAGGGATGTGGTGAAGTCCAAGTTCTTCTACTGGCTYGTCATCCTGATGGTGGCACTGAACACCCTCTCCATCGCCTCTGAGCACCACTTCCAGCCAGAATGGCTGACACAGGTGCAAGGTAAGCAAAGAGTCCTCAGAGAGAAGGAGGGCTCAGGACACCCTGCTG